CACCTCCAGCAGCTCCAGCAGCACCTCCAGCACCAGCAGCACCAGTAGCACCAGCAGCACCTTGACAGCACCGAGCATACCACTCACAAAGCTGCTGCGGAGAGAGGGGCTCCCGCCGCGACGGGACACCCGGAGGACCTCCAGACGCAGCACGCGCAGGCTCAGCACCCCCAGGCTCAGCACTCCTAGACTCAGCACCCCCAAGCTCCACACGCTCAGGCTCAGTACCCCCAGGCTCCGCACCCTCAGACACAGAAACCCCAGGCTCAGCACCCCCAGTCCCCGCACCCGCAGGCTCAGCACCCCTAGCAGCACCTGAGTCGACAGCTACCTCGACCGGCTCGGCAGGGTCTACCTGGGACACACCTGAGGGGGCAGGACCCTAAGGGGGGAGGGGGTCTACCGGAGGAGTACCTGGTGCTAGGAAGAGTGGCGGGGGGGGGGGGGGGGGGAGAGGCAGTGCGGTAGGGAAAGAGACGGTAGTAAGACACCGACTCGTCAAATGTGACGTCTTGAGAGGACAGAACACGACGCGAGGTGGGGTGGTAGAACTGCCACCCGGGTGCGTCAGGGGGGAAGCCAAGGAAGACGCAGGGAACGGCACGGGAGGACAGCTTGTCCGCTGAAGTATCGCGGACAAAAGCTCGAGATCCCCAGACACGGAACGCGGACGCATCGCCAACCTTCCCCGTCCACCGCAGAGTAGGCGTGGTCTCCGGCAAGGAGACACGAGGCTAAAGGTTGATCTGATGCGCAGCGTACCGAACCGCGAACGACCACAGAAAATGGGGAGCAGCCGCATGGATCATGGACGTACGAGCGACGTCCATGACCATGCCAATGCGGCGCTCAGCAATCCCATTTTGCTGCGGGGAGGCCGGAAGCGTGAACGTCTGGCGGATGCCCTCCGAACGACAGAAGGCTCTCAGGAGGTCGGAGGAAAACTCCCCGCCTCTGTCTGAGTGCAGACGCAGAACAGGAAGGTCTGAGCCGAAACTCTCACTGAGCTGGCGACGAGCACCGCGGATCCAGTCGATCAACACCTCAGTGACCTCACCCTTGCTGCGCAAGGGGAAGACTGTGGTGTAACGCGAGTAGTCGTCAACGACCAGCAGGAAGTAACGCTCGTGACCCTGTCCACGGACGCGGGCTGGGCCCCACACGTCCATGTAAAGAGTCTGCAGGGGAGCCTCCGTCGGAGAGAACGTGGAGGAGTGAGGAGCCGCGCGCTGCCGGCCCTCGACACACGGAACACAGGTAGGGGCAGGTCCCGGAGGAAGGGGAGGGAGGGACCGGGGGAGACCCGAGACAAGGGTACGGGAGGCCATACCTCGAAGACGAGGCAGGGAGGGGTGACCAAGGCGGTGGTGCCAAAGGAAAGTCTCGTGCGACAGAGGACGACACGAGCAGGGGGGCAGACTCTGGACTAGACCTGGACGCGGCAGCAAACACCTGACTAGACGCGGCTACCTGACCAGACGCAGTGACCGGAGGAGACGCAGTAGTAAGTGTGTACACAGACTCGACCCAGGCCGACGGGTGAACGTGGCCAGGTGGCAGCCCGTCCGAGAGCAAGTGCAGTGGGTCACAAGCTGACCTCCAGGGGTGAACTGGTCGACCCACGCGTCCTGGAGGTCAGCTCCACTCACCAAGTTCGTAGAGAACGAGGGGAGGTGGAGTCCCAACAGCAAGCCCGACGGGGCCGCAGGACACGGTAGAACCGTGGAAGAGTGCGCAAGGACTTGGCCCCCAGAGGGGTCAGCCAGGGAGACTGCGACAGGCCGACTGAGCGGCATGAGTGTGGTGCTGTCGCGAAAGAAGGAGCGCGAAGCACCAGAGTCAAGTGTGAAAGTGTGCAAGGCCTCAGTAGGTGCAGTACCACAGAGAGCAGACTCACCAGAACCTGGAGCAGCAGACTCACCAGTACCTGGAGCAGCAGACGCACTAGCACCTAGAGCAGCAGCCTCAATGCCCGGGTCGGGCGGGACACTCAGGTAACAGTCACCCTCAGCACTATCAGTCACAGCATACATGGCAGCAAGGATAGCATCGAAATCAAGATCAAAGATAGCAACATTCTGCCTCAGCAGATCAGCCCAGCGAGGGAGCTCAACAGCGTCAGGAAACTGGGCGCGCCAGGCGTCAGTCAGGCGACCGAAGCAGCGCTGCGCAGTGTGTGGCAGCTCGCACGTCTCCCCACGACGCCCGCCGGTTCGAAGAACGTAAGTGTAGGGACCAGCACCCCCAGACCTCCCACGCCCAGCGTACCACTCACGAAGCTGCTGGGCCGACGGGGTCTCACGGGAACGCGGCTGCTGCTGGCGCTAGCTACCACCAAAGCCTCCACGCTGCGCGGCTGCACCTCGACCAGCACCACCGCCGCCGCCACCTCCACCACCGCTGCCGCTGCCTCCACCACCGCTGCCGCTGCCTCCACCACCTCCGCCGCTGCCTCCACCACCTCCACCGCCGCCACTGAAGCCCCCACTCCCGGCACCACCCCCACCTCCACCGCCACTCCCTCCGCCTCCTCCAACGCCTCCGCCGCCGCCCCCGCCGTCCCCTCCACCACCCTTGCTCCCCTTGCCCTTTGCTGTTGCGGCGCCTCCCACTGGGAGCAGACGCAGCCCCGACCTCCTCAGTGCCAACAAGGTCGACAGCAGCAGCAGAAGCAACAGAGGGGAGAAGGGGGACAGGGGAACACCCCTCAAAGAAAGGGGTGCTACGGTCGCCGCGAGAAGCACCTACAGCTAAGATACTCTTCTCAGCTGCAGCGAGGCGCTCCTCTAGCAGGTCGACAGTGAGCTCGGTGGGGCAAAGGGAGAGAAAGTGGTCCCTGACTTAAGCAAGGGAGTCAGGGAGGCGGGTGACTAGGTAGTAAAGGGTGATGTACATGGGGGGGGGTTCTTGGCACAGAACTCAGTGGGAAGGGCAGCGCGGTAGCGGGCGTCACTAGTGCGGAGGTGAGTAATGAGGTCAGCAACTGTGGCAAAGGCGGCAAGGTCAGGAAAAAGGTACGGCAGCATGAGGCGGCTGAGGGCAGCAGTGGCAGGGGAGGAGTAGCGCGCAACTACAGCGTCGTACAAAGACTTAGCAGTCCTGTACTGACCAAAATGCGCGCGCTCAGCAGGCGGCAGGTGACTACGAACAGCAAGGCGAGCAAAAGCATCACGAGTGGTCCACTGCGAGCGAACTGTACTGTCAGCAATGGCAGCAGGTGCAGTAGAGACACCGGACGTGTGATCGAAAAGGGATACCCCATCCCTAGAGTCACACTGAAGAAAGAGCTGCAGGTTGTCAACCCACACGTCAAAGTCAACTGCACGTCCCTCAGCATCAAAGGTGAGAACAGTAGGGCTAGCCATAGCAGCAGTAGCAGCAGTGGCAGCAGTAGCAGCAGTAGCAGTAGTGGCAGCAGAAGCAGTGCAAGCAGAAGGGCAGCGCGGCTCGGCAGAGCAGCGTGGCTCGGCTGGGCGGCGCGGCTCGGCTGGGCGGCGCGGCTCGGCAGGGCAGCGCGGCTCGGTTCCTGGCGGCGCGGCAGCAGGCGGCGTGGCGCGGCAGGGCAGCGCGGGTGCTTACCAGGGGCGGGTGCAGGGCAGGGCCGCAGCTGGCTGTTTAGGTCAGGGCCGCGTCCGGAGGCAGCAGGGCAGGGCGGCGACAGGGGCGGCAGTAGGGCAGAGGCCGCGACGGGCGGCGAAGACAGGGCCGCGACAGGGGCGGCAGCAGGGCAGGGCCGCGACAGGGGTGGCAGTAGGGCAGGGCCGCGACAGGGCGGCTGCAGGGCAGAGGCCGCGACGGGCAGCGAAGGCAGGGCCGCGACTGGGGCGGCAGCAGGGCAGGGCCGCGACAGGGGGCGGCTGCAGGGCAGTGGTCGCGACAGGGCGGCTGCTGGGCAGAGGCCGCGACGGGCGGCAAACGGGCCGACGACGGGCGGCGACGGGCCGACGACGGGCGGCAAAGGGGCCGGGACGGGCCAGCGATGGGCCGGGACGGGCCGGGACGGGCCGGAACAGGCCGGGACGGTCCAGCTACGGGCGGCACGGGGCTGCAGTGGGCGGCTAAGGCAGGGCCGCGACGCGTGGCGACAGGCCAGCGACGGGCAGCGACGGGCCGGGACGGGCCGGCTGAGACAGGGCCGCGACGGGCCAGCTAGGGAAGGGCGCGCGACGGCGCAGGTAAGGCAGGCGCGAGGCGCGCTTCGGGCAGGGCAGGAAAAAAAAATGTTCGTGGTGGGCCCTAAAAAAAACGTTCCCACGAGGGAACCTGCTCAGAATACCATGTTAGAATATTGACCAAATGAATGACTGAACTAGCAAGCAGGTGGGTACAAGTGGGAAACCTAAAAGTGTTGTACCCTATAAGAACTACCCCACTACAGCCTAGATAGACTATAGCATATATGTTTGACACGCTATATGGTGTGCCCTAAAAAAAAAGGTCCTAGAGTAGGACCTGCTCTGAAACCATGTCACAATACTGAACGAGAATGAATGCATTGAATAGAAAGTTGGTACAAGTACTAACCATAATTGGGTTGTACCCTTTATGGGCTACCCCACTACAGCCTACACAATGTACATTTAGAAAGAGAGAGTTGACCGCGTCCTCTATAAGAGGCCCAATGCGCCGCTAACACAACTACCATTTCTGAACTCTACCCTTCCGTTTATTTCAACATCTATCAGCACGGGAAGAGCCTAGAAGAGGTAATCAGGTATCATAATAGCACCCAACAGAGCGGCTTCCATCGGGCAAGCCTTGCCTGGTTGGGATAAAAGGATAAAGGCATACAGTACACCAGATGAGACAATAATTGAGAGGGATGGACTTGGAGAATTTCCAAAAGCGACAAGGTGAACAACGTGGGCAACATGGTGCAACGGGATCATTCCAACACGTGCACTGAGCACCATTGACATGGTATTGTGAAACGCAATTTGCAATTGAGTTTATTCATGACAACATGCAGACTGCGAAACGAGTTGTGATCAGCAACTTACATTCTTGCCATCGCAATCATCGGACCAGACATTGTGCGAGACAACGTCCGGCTCGAGGGGGAGCAGTTATCGTCAGTGAAAAAAGCGACGTAAAAACAACCCGGAACACCACCAATGTTATCCACTGAATACGCAAACGTGTAGATCCCGGCAACCTCCTTCGGGATTGGAGTGCAGCCGGGTTGTGTTAAGCGGATGGTGTAGGGCTTGGACGCGTTGCCTCTGGCGTTATGATCCGCGATGAAAGTCATACTGCTGGCAGACACTTGGTCGGATTGGTCTGAGAATGGATGGGACAAACAGCAGGGGAGAGAGATGGAGCACGCGTGAAATGAGTCGTGTTTTGAGTCGACTCGAAACACAAGTCATGCTGCTGGCAGCACTTGGTCAGGTTGGCCTGAGAATAGATGGGAGAAGCAGCGGGGGAGAGAGATGGAGCATGGATGGGAGAGGGAACGAGAAGGAAAGATGTAATGAATTATGATGCTATGAATTGGGATATGACAGCATGGTGAAGGCAAAAAGCTGACCCGCGTCCAAGTCGACTGCAGCAATATCTTGTTAGACATAGTGGCCGAGTTAAAGCTACTGCTACACTCCAAGCTGAGAAGTAGTTCTGGGTTTAGGGTTTCTGCTTCAGTAGAAAGGCTCTCCGCTCCAGGATCATGCCGCTCCAGAAGGGCAGGTGCCGCAGGGAGAGTCTGAGCAACACAGCAAGCAGGGGAGAGACACAGAAGGCAGTGGGGGGGGGGACACATAGAATGGCAGAGAGATGGCGAGATGGGACTGAAGGGCACTGGCAATTTGGCACCTCCGCTTGCAAGGCACTAAAAGGTGCAGTTGCTTGGGCGGTGTTGCAGGTGGCTCCAGTGGGCAGGAGCTGCAGGGAGAGTCTCAGCAACGCAGCACGCAGGGGAGACACATGGGCCCAATTCGGCTGGCGTTATGGGCGTTAGAGCCTTTTTAACCAACCTCGAAAAAACGCCGGCTCGAAAAAACGTCCAAGTCAGACTGCGCATGCAGCGCACCTTCGAAAAAACGGGTTGCCCTGTTCGGCTGGCGTTAATGGGGTTAAACATGATAGCGTGGGAGGGCATGAAATTCGCAAAAGGCAGATAGCAGGTACACTGCACCTTCGCACAATCATATGATTGGCTGGCATATTTGACCAGTCACATATGATTGGCCGCATCACTGATCCCCTGCATGGTGCAGGCTCTCGACCATGCACCATGCACCATGCACCATGCGGCGGATCAGTGGTGCGCCATTTTGCCAGAGGAAACGGTTTCCTGGAAGCATCGTATGGTTGAAAACGCCAGCGTTAAAAGAGCTGTTCGGCTGGCATTTTTAAACGCGCAGGCTCGGCCTAGATCCGCTTATATCCAGCCTTGATAACCTCTCAAACGCTTATCAAGGAAGGTTCCAGGGTGGTCGTTTTACTGTAGCCGGTCCCCGAGCCTGAGATTTCAACGCCTGCCGAAGTGGGCCATGGTACGGAAGAGAGATGCCAAAAGGTAGGGTACGGTAAGCGGTAGAGACGGTCTTGCAGGTGGCAGCAGAGGGGGAGGTGCCACAGGGTGATTCTGAGCAACACAGTAAGAGGAAGGGGGGTGTGGGGGCATACGCGGTACATGAGAAAGACAGTGAAATGGGCGCATGATGTTGAGTGTAGGAAATAATAGAGGTAGGGAAAACGAGGGTGGATGGGCTGGTTTGGGGCTGCAGAAAGCTGGAAACCATGCTTACTCTACTTGCAAGAGGAGGAGTGCGGATGGGTGCAGATGGGCTGGGAAGGGTGTACGGAAAGCAAAAGAGAATGTTGAGTGGAGCAAGCAGCGAAAAGGGGCAGCTGAACCAAAACATAGAGCTAAAGGAGAATGAGTGGGTGCTTACTCCATTTGCAAGAGCGGATTCCATCGGCGCTGGTCACACAAACCCCATCTGGCTCGCAGCCCAATGCAGCGCAAGCCGTGTCTGATGTCATGTGAGTGCATGGAAGGAAGTATGCGGTGGAAGGATGGGGCGGAAGAAGGGGGAATTAGACAACAACGGAGATGCATATTGAGAACAACGGAGATGCATATTGAGAACAACGGAGATGCATATTGAGAACAACGGAGATGCATATTGAGAACAATCCATAGGCTGCTCCCAACCGAACGCGGCACAAGCCATGTCTGATGTGCGTGCATGGAAGGAAGTATGCGGTAGAAGGATGGGGCGGAAAAAAGGGGAACAAGGAAAAATTGAGGCGCCTCAACAGACAAACCCCACCTGGCTCGCAGCCCAACGTGGCACAAGCCGTGTGTGATGTTCGTGCAGGTGCATGGAAGGAGAGGGGTGCATGGAAGGAGAGGGGTGCATGGAAGGAGAGGGGTGCATGGAAGGAGAGGGGTGCATGGAAGGAGAGGGGTGCATGGAAGGAGAGGGGTGCATGGAAGGAGAGGGGTGGAATAAAGGGTAAACAGAAAACAACGGGGACGAAGAAAGAAACGAAAGAAATACAGGATGATATCAACTCAAACTAGGTAGGTGCTAAGGGGCATGATAGCAGGTGGGTGGGTGGAACATGGATGATAGCAGGTGGGTGGGTGGAGCATGGATGATAGCAGGTGGGTGGGTGGAACATGGATCATAGCAGGTGGGTGGGTGGAACATGGATGATAGCAGGTGGGTGGGTGGAGCATGGATGATAGCAGGTGGGTGGGTGGAGCATGGATGATAGCAGGTGGGTGGGTGGAGCATGGATGATAGCAGGTGGGTGGGTGGAGCATGGATGATAGCAGGTGGGTGGGTGGAGCATGGATGATAGCAGGTGGGTGGGTGGAGCATGGATGATAGCAGGTGGGTGGGTGGAGCATGGATGATAGCAGGTGGGTGGGTGGAGCATGGATGATAGCAGGTGGGTGGGTGGAGCATGGATGATAGCAGGTGGGTGGGTGGAGCATGGATGATAGCAGGTGGGTGGGTGGAGCATGGATGATAGCAGGTGGGTGGGTGGAACATGCATGATAGCAGGTAGGTGGGTGGGTGGAGCATGGATGATAGCAGGTGGGTGGGTGGAGCATGGATGATAGCAGGTGGGTGGGTGGAGCATGGATGATAGCAGGTGGGTGGGTGGAGCATGGATGATAGCAGGTGGGTGGGTGGAGCATGGATGATAGCAGGTGGGTGGGTGGAGCATGGATGATAGCAGGTCAAGGGAGAATTTGCGAAAGTGTAAAACCAAAATCTCACCCTTCCAGACAAGTCCACTGCAGCCACTCACCGACGCAGTGCAGTTCGTTGGGAGGCGTCTGGAAGCCAGCATCGCACTCGCAGGTGGGAACGAGATGAGAGACAGTCAGGTGAAGAGCATTTCACCGACACAACACTCACCGACGCAAAGCAGTTTGTCCGGAGGCATCTGGAAGCCTGCATCGCACTGGCAGGTGGGATCACCGTTGTCCTTCCTCACGCACTTGCCATTGGCCCCACAATTCACTGCAGCACAGTTGTCTGCAAAACAAGTGACCCAGGCAAGTTAAAAAAAAAAAAAAAAAAAAAGTATCAGAAAGCAGGAAGATTCAAGTGTTGCTAGTTCAGGGTCGTAAGTCGGATATACATGAAATGTGATCACTTGTTCAAGAAATTAGAGTTGAGGGAGGCTGACTATTCTGGGTCCAAAACGCAAGGCATGCGCTCTGTGTGCACTCCTACTCACCGGTGCAAGAAAGCGTGTCATTAGAAGGCTTAAAGCCCGTGTTGCAAGTACAGAATGGCTTTCCGTTCGCATCCTTTGTGCAATTGCCTCCAGGGCCACAACTCACCCCATCACACAAGTCTGCAAGGAAAAGAGACCCGGGCACGTGGAAGGATATTATCATATAAAGAAACCATAAGGTCGGGATATTATCAGATCCTCACAAACAATCCAAGGGACACTGAGTTGAATATGCACGCAATCTGTGACTCTTACAAGAGAGTGAAGAGAGGAGGCCAAATTTCAAGTGGGTTTGAAATGCAATCAAGGCATTCCCTATGTGCTGCTCTTCTCCTACTCACCAGTGCAAGAAAGCGTGTCATTCGATGGCTTAAAGCCAGTGTTGCAAGTGCAGAATGGATTTCCGTTTGCATCCTTGGTGCAGTTGCCTCTAGGACCGCACTTCACCGCATCACACAAGTCTGCACGGAAAAAAGGTTACGAAGAAAGGGAAGGATGACGAGGTTTGACAACCAAGGTGATGTAAGAACCATGGGTCGAATCGGATACCATACCACTAGCAGCGTACCTTGGCAAGTGCCGTTGATTGCAGCAAAGCCGTGGTTGCATGCACAGGTGAGCGGAGAGAGCAGAAGAGGCAAGGAGATACCACAAGCAGCGTACCTTGGCAGGTGCCATTGCCGGCAGCAAAGCCGTGGCTGCATTGCATGGACAGGTGAACAGAGATAGCAGGAAAGATAAGATATACCACAACCAACGTACCTACGCAAGTGCCATTTACGGCGGCAAAGCCGTGGTTGCATGCACAGGTGACGCCCTTGCTGTCAGTCGTTGGCATGCACGTGGAGTTGCCTGGACATGTGGCGTGCTGGCAGGTGATTTCTGCGATCGGGGGGGCGGGGGGAGGAGGCAACATGGGATAAGAGAGTCATGGGTAGCACAGAGACATGTGACGCCTTGCTGTCAGTCGTTGGCATGCATGTGGAGTTGGTGGGACATATGGCGTGCTGGCAGGTGATTTCTGGCAGCATGGGTAAGAGAGACAGGTGGGGGAATACAGAGAGATGAGGCTTGGCTGGTAAAAGCATATGAGAGAGAAATTCCCTCTGATGGAAGGGATGAGATGTGTGCGGCATGGTGGCAAGGCGGCAAGGAGGCAAGGTGGGAAGGAGGCAAGGAGGAAAGAAAGCAACGAGGCCACGATGCAACAATGCAGGTTGCAAGGAGGAAAGGAGGGAAGGAGGGAAGGAGGCAGGGAGGGAAGGAGGCAGGGAGGCAGGGAGGGAAGGATGCAAGGAAGCAAGGAGGCAAGGCGGCAAGGCGGCAAGGCGGCAAGGCGGCAAGGCGGCAAGGCAAGGCGGCAAGGCACGCACCACACTTGCAGGAAACGGAAGTCCATCGGGCAACCTTTTTTGCGCTGCACGCAGGGACGGCAGAAACACATTCAAACGAGACGTGAGGGAAATATTCAGATGAGAGACGTTATGTTAGGGTGGCACAACCCGAGGCATGACTGTGGCATTGGTAGAGGAAACTCACTCCCATGTACCTGCCCCCATCATGCACGTGGAAGAATTTCACCCACCCACCTGGGCACGTGGAAGAATTTCCTTAGAGCGGCAAACTGCGGCTGCAGCACCTCATCCAGCGCCTTGCCCTTGCAGGCCGGGTTGGCAAAAAACTTGAGTTGCTTGCACGCCGCACCCCCGCCGCCCCTGCCGCCGCCCTTGCCGCCGCCCGTGAGCCCGTGCCACCACACCTGCACGTCACCCGCCGCCTTGCGCGCCGCCCGGGGAAGGCTGAAGCAGCGGAGGGCGTCGAAGCTGACCGGGACGCTCACGCCCGGCACCGTGATCACAGTTGCCACGTGGACCCTCGCGTCCACTGCACTGCCTGTGCTGCTGTCACTTCCCGCACCGGCTGTGCCCTGCTGCGTTGCCACGTAACCACTCGCGTCCACCGCCCCGCCTGTGCCCTCCTGCGTTGCCACGTGTACACTCGCGTCCACTGCGCTGCCTGTGCTGCTGTCACCCGCCGCCACGCCTGAGAGGGGTGGGGGGAGCAGAGGGGTGTGAGGATGGAGAGGGGTGTGAGGATGGAGAGGGGTGAGAGGATGGAGAGGGGTGAGAGGATGGAGAGGGGTGAGAGGATGGAGAGGGGTGTGAGGAAGCAGGGGGGTGAGGGAAAAGGGGCACAATGTGCGTGCTTCTCATAGTAACACCTGTAGAGGCGCCTGAAAAGTAAGCCCAGATGTTGTAACTTGTAACACCTGCGAGCTACACTAAGGGTCGAGAGTCATCCACTGTGCCCCCCTTATTGGGCCGAGTAAAGAACCCCTCCTATTGGCCCAGCGGTCTAGCGGAGGGTTATATTTGGAGCTGGAGAAAAAAGCAAGACAATGAAACGACTCACCGCAGATGACGGCGAGGACGAGAAGCGGAAGCAGCGCGGCAGGAGAGGCGGCCATAGCGTTCAAGCTGCCACGTCAGGTGGGGTAATGCTTGTGCAGCGCGCCGCTACCACGTCAGGCGAGTAAACGCGCAATGAGAGGCGCAAATGTCACTGAGTTGACCGCAAATGGCGTTGCAAAGGTACCCTCGATGCTCGATGCTACCAATGGTACAGCACTGAGTGCTATAGTTGTGGTATAGCTGGAGGTGAAGGAGTTCTACTATAGTATAGTAGCTGCTGGCGTTGCCAAAAATTTGGAGGATAGAATGCTTCCATAGCTGCTCTCGCGGGTGGTTTATACACAAAGCTCGGCTCCCCAACCGCCCGGGGCTGAGGGCGTGGAACATCTGCGCGTTCCGCGAGCAGTTCCGCGAGCAGTTCCCCCGCTCCCCCAATCACCCGAGGCTGATAATCCAGTACGAGGCGCTAGGAACGCGATCCGGTGGCGTGAACTCAGAATTATTGATGCGTTCGAGGGTTGCGAGCTGAAATGCGAGTTTCGCTTCGAATCGCTATCCTGCGGAGCAAGCCGGAAACAGGGCGACTGGCTCAGCACGGCAGTCGCCTGCAGTGTCGCTCTGGCTGGTGAGCGACGGTGGGGCTTGAGTGAAGCAACAGGATTGGAGCACAAATGAATTATTATCCAAGACTGCGAGCCATCTTGCCCTATGTTATGTTCTGGTCTCTCTGAGATAGTGGACAGTTCCTGTCCCAGCACGCAAGTGAATTATTGCAGGCGCGCAGCTCACATTTGCTCATCAATCTCACGGCTCACAGTTGCTCATTTCTTCTGACGGGGTGACTTAGTGAAATCGGACGGCTCACATTGGCTCATCCAGCCCTCCAGCAGAGCGTGAGCGTGAATAATTGGAATACTAGCGCAGGCGGAGGGGATGCGCGCGACACCTGCTGTGGGACGGATATCACCCCAAACATGAAAAAAAAAATCGTTTCAATGCAGATCAGTAAGGTAATCAGTATGGTGATTTAAGGATAATATCTCAATTACTAAAACTTACAATTGTCTTCAATAAAAAAAAACACACATTATTTACTTTTCTGAGGTGTAGAAGCATAGCACCCAGTTAGGTGCCATTGATTGATGATTTTTGAGGCGCCTACAAAGTCGTGTAGAAGCATACTACCCAGGCATGTGCCTGGTGTCATTGATAGCAGCAAAGCCCTGGTTGCATGGACGGGTGAGCGGAGAGAGCACGAGAGGCGAGACACCGCGAGCAGCGTGCCTCCACCCAGGCAAGCGCCACGGTAGGATCAGGGCTGACGTTTCATTTTAAGCTTCCCTGATTCCGGGGAAAAATTTCCCCCTCTATTATGGGTGCACATTTTCCAGAAAAGCAGTACCCTGATTGCTCAGGGTTGTAAAGTAGTTAACACTGATTGTTCAGGGTCGAGAACTGAACATCAGAGTAGTAACGCGCGCTTTGTTACCGGGGAAAATATCCCCACTCTCCATAAAGTCTGCGCGCTGTGTATATCTGACAGATTTCCGCTGTCAGAGCCTATTTTCCGCTGACAGAGCCTATTTCGATCAATCCCAGCAAAGTATATCTGACAGATTTCCGCTGTCAGAGCCTATTTCGACCAATCCCAGCAAATTATATCTGACATTGCAGATTCACGCGATCTCGATGGGTATCAGAACGAAGTTTCGAAGAAACTTCGTCTCGATAAAGTGGGAAGGGGGGGGATTACGCACATGTGGGGGGATCACTGCGATCAATCCAAGGCGGGGTCATCGGAAGGAAACTTCCGAGAAACTTCCTCTCGATAAGTCAGGGTCCACACAGTCGATACTCTGTTAAGTCAGGGTCCACTAATAGCCTAGTCTGTTACACTGTACTCAAAATCAGGGATAGCTAAACTATTACTCTGATTGGATCAGGGCTGGAAATTCAATAACTCTGAAATTTCAGTCTCCACGAAGTGGAAAGCCTGAAATCACCCTAAAATCAGGGTAATTACCCTGATAAAATCAGCCCTGGGTAGGATTACATTAATGCTTTTGAAATATTGCAAGTATTTAGTAAGTATAAATACAACAAAATTGCCAGACATATCAATCATAGCTAGCCATGTACTCTAAAGGTTACATTCCCTTATCCTACAATGTTTTTCATGGATGTTTAAAAGTTACAGTTCCATGAGAAGAAACGAGGAATGACTAAAGGAAAGTTGGGTACAAAAGCAAACCCTAGAAAACTGTACCCCATATGTGCTACCCCACTATAGCCTACAGTAGCTATGTCATATAAATCTGACACACCCCCATAGGCAAAGTGGGGGAGAACAAGGGGTCACAAGACCAGTCAAGCAAAGCAAAACAAGCTCAGGGTGGATCACAAAGTCACCACACATTCCGAGCACAAGTTCAAGGCCACAAGGCCAGTTCACATGCAGGATTGCATATATATATAAGGCTAGACAAGCAAGAGCAGGTGTATATATATATGCAACAGTACAAGCAAGGTCAAGGGGTGAGCAAGTGAGGCAAGGTAGGCACAAGACCCAGCTGAGTACAGAAGCGCTGATGATCACAAGGCGGAAGTGCCTTGGTGAAGATATCAGCAGTGTTGGCCTCAGAGGCCACGTACGCAAGCCGTAGCTGACCACGCTGCTGTAGCTCACGAGCAAGGAAGTAGCGGAGAGCAATGTGCTTCGTTCTGTGCTCCAGTCTCTGCTCTCGACACAAGGCCAGCATGGCCTTGTTGTCTACGTACAACACTGGAGGAGAACGAGGCGGCTCTCCGAGGTCAGTGAGCAGGTAGGTGAGCCAGCGAAGCTCCTGTGCAGCCATGGCCCCGGCGTAGATCTCAGCCTCACAACTGGAGCCGAGAACAGAAGACGAGCGGGTAGCCCGCCACGAAACAGAGCCGGAACCAAGGCTGAAGGTGTAACCCTGTGACGACCGCTGCGTAGCCTGGTCGTCAGCCCAAGAAGCGTCTGCGTGCCCAGTGAGGACCACTGGACTCTGCCCTCCAAGCACAAGCCCCATGCCCGACGTACTGCATAAGTAGCGCAACACCCTCTTCGCTGCAGCCATGTGCTCCGGTCTGTGTCTCCCAGGAGCAACATAGCGTGCAAGAATGCTAAGAGGGTATGCAAGGTCAGGTCGTGTGCAGGTCATCAGGTACATGAGGCAGCCAACAAGCTCTGGGTACGGGCCACTCGACTCTACAGACTCATCCGAAGGCAGAGCTGAGAGCGAGTGGCGAGTAGGCAGAGGAGTGGCCTGAGGCGAGGAGTACGTGAAGCCGAAGCGCTGAAGGACCTGCTGCACCATGTGTGACTGAGTCAGGGTAATGGTGCGGCGTGCTCTGTCCCGGGTGATCTGCAAGCCAAGGTAGCTGCGCAGTTCACCCAGGTCTGTGCACGTGTGTCTCTTATGCAGCTCGGACTTCACGTGGGCGAGTCCAGCAGTGTCAGCTGTGGCGAAGACCAAGTCGTCGACGTACACGAGGATGTAGAACGGCGGCAAAGAAGTGTCGGTGCGCAGAAACAGCGACGGGTCGGCAGTAGAGGGAGCAAACCCAAGAGCCGCAAGTGTAGTCCTCAGTGTGTCGTGCCACTCACGCGGTGCCTGGCGGAGACCGTAGACTGGCCGCCGGAGGCTCCACTGGGTGCCAGGAGGAAAGGACCCAGTGAAGCCAGGTGGGCGACGCAGCCAGATCTCCTCGTGCAGGCTGCCCTGCAAGAAAGCAGTGCTGAAGTCAAGAGAGTGCAGCTCGTAGTCGCGGTGAGCAGCTATGTGCAGCAGTACCCGAAGAGTGGTCATCTTCGGGGTGGGAGAGAAGGTCTGAAAGTAGTCAACTCCCTGCCGCTGACTGAAGCCACGAGCCACGTAACGCGCCTTGAAGACAGGCGGAGAACCCGGCGGGCGCTTCACCCTGAAAATCCACATGCCACTGACGATGTTCGCCCCAGGCGGGGGAACCTCGTCAACGTAGGTGCCTGTGGACTTCCAGGAAGCCATCTCTGCGTCCATAGCTGCCTGCCACTGAGAGGAGTAAGGACCCTCTATCGCCTCCGCGTAAGAGCGCGGAGTCGGGATGTCAAGTGCATCCGGGTCTCCCTCAGGGGTAAGCAGTACGGACATGAGATGAGGTGAAGCAGCAGCCAGACACTGGAACTCCTCCTGCCTGTCCTCAAGGACGTCCGTGCCAAGGGCACACTCACCCCCGACGGACGGAGGACAGACAGACTCAGACTCAGCAACAAGACTAGCAGCGTAGTCTAGACGACAGCGAGCAGCAAAGTCGACGAGCTCAGTAACTAGGGCAGACGCAGCAGTGGACTCAAAGGAAGGGTTAGTGACAACAGTAGCAAGGAGACGCATGACAGTCGGACTGGCAGCACGAAGGGAGTCCGACTCCGGGTCAGGAAGAGCAGGAAGAGAGGACTCAGGAGGAGAAGGCAAAGGGGCACGCAGAGGAGCAGTGGACGGACGCAGAGACATCCGGTGCGTGCCAGGGACAGGAGGAGGACGCTGACGCGAACCACGACCACTAGTGCGAGCAGCACGGACAGGCGACGCAGGGCGAGACGCAGGCTCACGACGCTCAGTAAGACCTCCAGTAGGACCAGTGTAGGGAGAAGGAGCGGGCAGTGGGGAGGCCGGCTGTAACTGTAACTGTGACGGGACAGGCTGTGGACACTCTAAGGGAGGAGGAGGACCAGTAGAAGGCGGGAGACCAAGAACCTGCTGAAGGAGCGGAACGAAGTACGGCCGAGGCCGCGCGGCGACTCCAGACACAGCAGGGACAGCACCAGTACCCCCAGCGGCAGCACCAGCGCCAGCAGCACCTCCAGCTCCAGTACCTCCAGCAGCACCAGTAGCACCCCCAGTAGGACCGCCTCCAGGACCGACAGCAGTAGCCTCAGCGCCAACACCCTCAGCAGCTCCAGCTCCAGTCGTACCCGCAGGCCCAGCAGCTCCAGTACTCCCAGTACGAGCACCTCTGGGACCCGCGGCACCAGCACCCTCAGCAGCCGAAGAAC